GAGGACTGCACCGGCGGCTGCATGGTGGCCACTTGAGATGATTTAGCAGACAAGTTTTTTGAGTCCTCTGAGAAAATTTAAGATGCGGGTTTTTGTCTTGATACAAAGCAAAATCTTGTGTAGGGTAGCACTGCTTTTCTTGTGCTATAGGTTCTTACAGTTTCCAAAGTTGGAATCATCGTGTAGCATTTTATTTTCAATTATGAAGAGTTACTTTGTGTAATTAAAATAAATCGTTAATTTTGTTACAGGAGATGCTAAAACAGAACAAAAACCTGGTGAGAAAAAGAGAGGAGTGAAGAGACCACGTGAAGACCATGGCCGTGGATATTTTGAGTACATTGAGGAAAATAAGTACAGCAGGTAAATAAAGTTGATGCTGGGCAGCTTTTTGATAATGAAGAGAAGTACAGGAATGCTTGTTTTAATAGCGTGAAAATGGGGTAGCTTAATTATATTTTGATTGTTTTTTGTTTTGTTCAGGGCTAAGTCCCCTCAACCACCTGTTGAAGAAGAGGATGAACATTTTGATGACACAGTGGTTTGTCTTGATACTTGTGAGTAAACACACTTTCCTTTACTCTGTCAAGATGCAATGTTATGCTTTTAATCTGAAAACTACACTTTCTGAAATGTGAAGTGACTACATCTGTTAACTTCCATTATCAAATAACTTTAAAAAGAAGAAAAAAATAGTATTTTCACCCAATTTCAGTATGGAAGAGAAGGGTATATGGGTCTTTAGCAGCAAGAAGATTTGTTTTCCCATTAAGTCTGGGATGTCATACATTTTTTTTTTAAAGAAATCTTAACCAAAACACAGGTGTGGAAACCAAGGTGGCTAAATGCAGAGTGAGCATAGAACACCCTAAAAACAATTTGGGAAACTAATTATATAGCATACAAGCTTTTAAGTTCAGAAAGTTCTGAGAGTCAGTAGTGTAGGTAATTACAGTAGTAGAATTTGTGAAGTGAGCTTTCTGCATAAGTTGCTGAGGCTTTACTTGAGTCTCCTGATAAATTCAACAGAATTGTTTAAGGCTTCCTGAAAAATGACCCATTTGTGCAACCTGGGAGTTTGGGGAGGAGTGGTGATCTGTGCAAATTGAATGGCAGAGAATTGGTCAGGAGGGCATTGAAATGGATAAGCACGTACAAACAGTGTGGCTTTCGATGCAGAGTATAAGTGTTACTTTTACTGTGATGCACCAGGACTGGGGCAAAGTTGACATGTTCTCGAGGGTAAGTATAAGGACTTAGTGTAGTATTAGAAAACTTAAGTGACGCTTGAACTTGTTGGATTCTTAAAACACCATGGAAGGAAATTTTAAATTTTGGCATTTACTGGCGTATTTGTTGGTGGCTTCAGGTGGGTTTTTTTTTTTTTCCCTGAGAAATGTTTCGAAATCAAAGGAGGTATTCATTTCAGCCATGTAAATGGATGGATATACCATCCTTGACATTTTGGTAACTGAATCTCGAGTTTATAGCTGCTAACCTAGTGAGTAGTCACCTGTCCTGGGTTCAGCGACATCACCTTTGTGGAAGCTTCTGATTTTCCCAGTAATTGAATAGTTCCTACTTTTTGTTGTTTTAGTTTCAAGTGTCAACAGGCTGCTCAGAGATCAGAATCAAACAGCTTTAAGATTGAATTGTGTAACAATTTGGCACTCTCTTTTATGGACCATAGTAATCCAGACATAAAAGAGGTTTAGCACTCTTAAGGGCTTTTTGTTACCTGGGTCTTATAAGGAAGCTAAACTTCAAGTTCTGTTCTCATTTGTTCTAAAAGCAACCTGCTCAGGTGGGTTTCTTCTGTATGATTTTTATCTGGTTTTCAAACAAAGTCAGAAGTACTAATGAGAGAACACTTGGATCACAATTGCTGTAGTTGCAACTGGGGGTAGCTGTATGCAAACACAAGATTCTCATGCATGAGTTACCAGTAATACAGGGAAAGCTGCATTTCAGGGTACTAGGATGGCGTGCAGGTTTTATACCAGGGCAGAACAACTTACTTCTTGCGCAGTGTGCTGCTTTCTTGTAACTGTCAAATGGGTTTGGAGTTTTTTCTATGGATTCCTTGCTCTGGGGAGTTCAAGTGCTATATTCTGCACCTCGTGTTACCATTTTGCATTGTCTTTTTGAAACCTGCTAGAAGATAAATTTCAAAATTCTCAGTGTGCAGCCTGAAGATGTCTGTAAAAGGTTTCACTTAAGTTCTTAGAGCAATAGGTGAATTCATAGTGCAAAGAGTGTTTCCTAGGTGAAGTAGGTTCTTTTACCACATGCTGCATCCTTAACCTACCTGCACTTGACTTAACTGAATTTAGTTGGCTTAATCTAATTGGATTTGCTGATAGATGATGTTAACCAAAGACAGTACTACTTTCAGTACTTAAACAAAAATACTTGTGTTCCTATTTACCTTGCAGCTGGCCTTTAGGTTTGGGCATGAGGGGTAAGCAGATTTCCAAAAAAGGTATCTAGCAAATGCAGAGCATGCTGCAGTCTCCTTTGCTTTATATTGATGGAAGTAGGTAACAGACAAAAAAGGTTTAAATAGGTGAGGTGAAAAACAGATTTTCAGACAGATGATAAAAATGGAGGAAATTTGGCGACAGAAGTGAAGATGGCGGCTTGAAAATTAATCTTGCTGGCTAGCTTTTTGTAAGATTTTTGGCTGACCTTCAGCCTGCAGCTCAGTCTAGGCATATGTTCAGTTGGTTTCCTGAAAGATGCTGAGCAGTTTCTGGCAGTTTGTCTTGAAAATCACCTTTAATGCATAAAGTTGGACAGCTATACTTTATTTTGTAATGAGAGTAAACAGTGACTTTTATGTTAACAGATAACTGTGACCTGCATTTTAAAATCTCAAGAGACCGCTTTAGCGCTTCCTCTCTGACCATGGAAAGCTTTGCCTTCCTTTGGGCTGGAGGAAGAGCCTCCTATGGAGTTTCTAAAGGCAAAGTCTGCTTTGAGATGAAGGTGAGTTAAACTGGTGTTTTATGGGAGATTGCTTCTTGCATGCTTAGTTGTGATTCTGTTTATTCTTTCAGGTTTTTTTGACTTAGCTGAAACTAATTCAGGTGAACAGGATTTTCAGAAGGCCTTCTCTTAAGAGCCTGCAAAATGGTTTCTCATAAAAGGTGGCTCGATTTTCAAAAACTTTTTCCTCTAAGAACTTCCATTTAACTAAAAAAATAAAAGCAGCTTGCATGAATGTGTAACCCTCATTTTTGAACCAATAATTTCATGCATCAACACTTGAGAAGTTTTGATACTCACTAGTCAGAAGTTTACTTGTATGTTCTGAAGATTACAGAACGCTTGGCTTGGCTTCTTTTTTCTTTTTATTCTTTCTCCCCACCCCCCAGGGATAAATTATCCCAGCAGTCCTTTTTTCTGTTCCTGCTTAGCCTTTGAGTTTGACCTGCTCTAAGCAGATATGTGGGGCTAGATGACCTCCAGAGGTCCCTTCCAACCTGAATAATTCTGACTTGTGTACACAATGAATGTGAGTATTTAGCAGGTCCTTGTATTTTGAGTGCAAGAGTTCACTTAAGGGGGTAGGAATGGAAAAGAGCAGTCAGCCGTGTGGAAAAACAGATTTATCCAGCTTGTTGACAAAAGAGTAACAGGAGGCACAAAGCTTGTTAAGTATGGAAAAAAAAAAAGAAAATCAAAAACCACTTTTAAAGGCTTCTTCGCATTTGATGTGCCTGTGAATATAAATGCTTACTCTGTTCTCTTCAGTACTTTCAAATTTAACCAGGACCAGGAGGAATGAGTAGTGGTCCCATTCTCCATGTTCTTGCATCAAGTGATTCCTGTGTCTTTTGGTACCTATAACTTAGAAAGCCCAATGAAGTGAAATTGCTGTTGATATTTACTGCCCTGTTCACTTTCAAATTAGTTTCACCTTGCTGTCCCCTGGCTTACACAGTTCTGGAAACTGCTAGAATGCTGATGAGTTACTTGCTTCAGTTTGGTAAAGGCAGTTGGAAAATTGTTGGTTGCCTACAGATTCCAGTGCTTTTAAGTAGGTTTTTTTTGAATCTGGTTATGTTGTTTGGAAGCTGGCAGCTCACCCAGGAAGTCTGCTTACTCTGGCAAAAAAACACAAAAGTGTAATATTTTCCCCAGTCTATATGCAGCAGTATTTTTAATCCATTACCACATTTTATTGGCAAAGTTATTGTTAATCCCAACTTCATGGTGATTATTTAAAAAAAAAAAATTATCTTGTCTGTGATTCTAATGCAGTATCAAAAGGATCAAGGCTTTTGGCCAGTGAGAGGGACTGCTGTGACTAAGTGCTTGGAAGGTATATGGTGTCTTGCATCTTCGTTGCTCAGTTGGGCGATGTAACTATTTAGTCACTGGCTTGTGGTTTCACGTTTCGCTGAAGCAAGTCGTGTTTTTGCAGAAGGTGATTACTTGGACTTAGCAAAGATTTAACCACAGTGTAAAGGTTACAGATGTTACCTTTGTGTTTCCATCTCATTAATGTCTAATAAATATTATGTATCTTTTAATGAATAATTTAAAAATAGGTTACAGAAAAGATTCCAGTTAAACACCTGTATACAAAAGACATTGACATACATGAAGTGCGAGTTGGCTGGTCACTGAACGCAAGTGGGATGTTGCTTGGTAAGACTTTAACATTTGACTATTTTTCTATTATTTATTGTGCATGTTGAAGTTTCAAGTAATTTTTTCTTCAGTGGATGGAAGAAGCTTAGTGATTGTAGTCCATGTATTCTGGAAAGTAGTCTTAACTTGGATCATTCACTGGACGTGGTGTGGGAAAGCTTATTACTGGGACCAGATAAAGTCGTTAAGTATTCAGGCCTGTGAAGGCGTTGACGATTTGAGAGTTAATTCTTTCAGTGGTCAAGTATGGGTTGTTGAAACATGTTCCTAAAGACCTGACAAGATTAAAGATCTGTCTTTTCCATGTAGTGCCATAAATAGGAAGAGGGGGTCTTCCCCCTTAGTTTTTTTTCTTTTAAGGAGGCATAGTATAAGATCTAACCAGTGAAGAAAAATTCCTGGATAACTATGCTATCGTTCTTCTGACCTGGGGGGAGAATCCTTATTTCTGAAAGTAGCTAGGAAGAAAGAAGCACAACTTGTAGATATGTGGGAACTGATTATAAATCATATTTTTATCTAATACCTGCTGCTGAGGTGTGTTTTTAGGAAATGTATGTTAATTGGTATGTTCTGACAGCAGCAGCAGCTTTCTAGTTAAGTACTTAAGTTCCACCTGAGTCCTTGTGTTTGACACTTCTGTTAGCTTGTTCCTTGCAGCTTCATCCTCAGCTGTCGCATAGGCTGAAGGTCTGCTAAACTCCCTTTAAAATGGGAGGGGTAAGTGCTACTGGAGACTAAAGTCAAAAAGCTTTTCTGACTAACTACAGTACAGGTATACTGGTGCATAACCAGGTCTTCAGAGTCTAAAAATACTTGCTTGTGACTTTATCTGGCAGTTCAGCTTTGTGTCAACATGAATCTGGAGCCAGCAGCATTAAGGCTCTTAAAACTGGGATTGGGTAATACTGCTGTTCTATCTCAAGTGAGAGTATTCTTGAATACAGGAACAAGCTGTAGCTGGTTTGGGGGTCATAGCTTGTTTTGGCATTAATCAAAACATTCTGAACAGCAGCTTACTTTGAACTAGCTGTAAAATGATTGTATTTCTAAATGGTTAGGTGAAAATGCTTTTTTTAAGTAAGTTTAAACTGTATTTCTTCAGGTGAAGAAGAATTTTCTTATGGGTATTCTCTAAAAGGAATAAAGACATGCAATTGTGAGACTGAAGACTTTGGTGAGAAGTTTGATGAAAATGATGTGATTGGGTGTTTTGCTGTAAGTTTTTCCTTATATTTCCTTTTGATGGATATTTCTTGAATTTCTAGTCTACTTAGTGAGAGGCAGTAAACCAAATACAGACAAACGTGGAGCAAGACAAGTTTAACATAGGGAGGAGGTAGAAATAGCAGGTATTGCCAACAGTGACTGCTGTCAACATGTTAAGATTGCATATTCACAGACAAGTGTGAATGGGGTGGGGAGTGAACACACCACAACAGATTTTAAATGAGAGAAGTAGTTCCTTTTATGATGTGGTAGTGTTACAGAGGTTGGGTGAGAATAGCCAATATAGTGAAGTGACCAATGTAACTATAGAGCAAGGTGAGTAATTTTACCCAAACTAATGCTTTGTCTGAAAAACAGAATTTTGATGGTGATGAAGTGGAACTCTCATATTCCAAGAATGGACAAGAGCTTGGTGTTGCATTCAAAATAAACAAGGAAGTTCTTGATGGGCGGCCACTCTTCCCACATGTTCTCTGCCATAACTGTGCAGTTGAGTTCAACTTCGGTCAGAAGGAGGAACCTTACTTTCCTGTACCAGAAGAGTACACTTTCATCCAGAAGGTCCCCTTGGAGGATAGGGTCCGAGGACCAAAGGGACCTGAGCAAAAGAAAGACTGTGAGGTAAGTTTCTTGTTGATAGTATCAGAGTTGTTGAGATAGCTCAACACACTGACCATTTTGTCTGGGAGCTTTAGTGCTTGGTATCCCATGACTCTTCATCCCTCCAATATCCCTATTCCACCACCTCCAGTTTCCATTAGGCTTGTTGATCTAAGTTGCATGTTACTAGTATCTCAAGTATAGAACTTGTCATCATAGGTGGTGATGATGATTGGCTTGCCTGGAGCTGGCAAGACTACATGGGTTACCAAACATGCAGCAGCAAATCCTGGGAAATACAACATTCTTGGGACAAACACTATTATGGACAAAATGATGGTAAGTGATAAGATGACATTTTAGTTGTTGGTATGTTAAAGGCTTGCTGTAAATCCAAGGTCTTTGGGGTTCTTTTGTATCAAAGAAATCTTAGAAACTAGCTACTGGTTAGCTAGTGACCATTAAAGATGATTTTTATTCTTTTTTTTTTTTTTGTCTTGCTGAGCTGTGAGCTCATACATGGCACCCCAGGATTCTGAAGCTTTCCTGGTGCTGTACAAGTCAACTGTTGCTGACTATTCAAATATTTCCATTTCTTTTTATTTCACTGTCCTTAGAACATTTAGCTTTGATTTGGTAATGTTATGAGCATACCTTGCATTCAGCTGTATTGATTGGCCTAGAGTCGTTTATAAAGACTTTGGACATTCTGGTTACAAGTTTGTAGCTGCGGCTTTGGAAGCGAACAGTTGTTGAAGCAATGCAGAAAGCATTTAGCGAAGAAAAACAGCCACATGTCTTAGAGGTACATTAATTAACTCTGGGAAATCTCTCTGCAGGTGGCAGGTTTTAAGCGGCAGATGGCAGACACTGGTAAACTTAACACACTGTTGCAGAGAGCTCCACAGTGTCTTGGAAAGTTCATTGAGATTGCAGCTCGTAAGAAGCGGAATTTCATTTTGGATCAGGTAGAAGCTTCAGTGAAAAATGGTTAAGGAAATTTTGTTATAGGCTGTAGTGCAGTAATTAAATGGGATTAAAGTTACATTGTTAATAGCTGTTGTTTCACTTACTGACTACTCGTTCAGGGGACACAAAGTTGAGATACTATTTACAAATGCTTGTCTGAACTTCTCTGGATTTATGGGATGTGGGAGGAATAGCGTTTTAACACGTGGATGTGAACTCGTAACTTTGCATTATGCAGCATCTTTATGTCCAGTTATTTGTAAACTTCATTGCAAGCTCTTGTAGAGGTGAAGTCTATACACCATAAGTTGACTTCCTTAACTCTTACAATGACAGCTACGTGTAGTAAGTTACTGCATTTTTTTCAGACAAATGTGTCTGCAGCTGCGCAGAGGAGAAAAATGTGCCTGTTTGCAGGCTTCCAGCGCAAAGCAGTTGTTGTTTGCCCAAAAGATGAAGACTACAAGCAAAGAACACAAAAGAAGGCAGAGGTGGAGGGAAAAGATCTTCCAGAGCATGCAGTTCTCAAAATGAAAGGCATGGAACATAATCCTATACTGTGTTTTAGGATGCTGAGTATCTGTTTAAAGGATTAAGTAAACGTGAAGTCTAAAAAATCACTTTATCTTAAACAGTTGTACTTAATCAAAACTGGAAGACTATTGTAACTTGTAGGACAACACTATATTGTGTTCCCTCTGCTGCAGTCCTTAACACTACTCAGTTATGCTGATATGCTTCATGCAGATGCACAAAGCTGTCTTGGCATAAAGTGCCCTATATAAGTGACATATTTGGCAGAAACTGGTACTCTGAGTGGAGGCTTATAAAAGAAAAAAGATATAGGCAGAATGTTCTCAAGGTTTGGAACAGTACTGGCAACTCCATGAAGACCTGTTTATTTCTTTTGTCACTGTTACCTTTCTTAAATGCTCTAATTCTGTAATATCCCTATGCTGAAGGAATGCGGGGGGAGGGAGGAAGAATGGGAGAAAGGTGGTTAAATTACAGCTTTGACTGTACCTGAATGTAGATGCTGAATACTCAGTGTTTTTGCAATTATAGGGAACTTCACACTGCCAGAGGTAGCAGAATGTTTTGATGAAATAATCTATGTAGAATTGCAAAAAGAAGAAGCTCAGAAGCTTTTGGAACAATACAAAGAAGAGAGTAAGAAGTCTCTTCCACCAGAAAAGAAACAGAACACTGGCTCAAAGAAGAACAAGAAGAGCAATAAAAATCAGTTTAATAGGGGTCAGAGAGGACGTGGAGGATTCAACATGCGGGGCAACTTCAGAGGAGGAGGTAAGCTTAGAAATAAGTCTGTAAAGTTTGGAGGCGGCTGCGGGGGGGGGGGTGTAGTATTTGCATTGCAGTTGTTATGTGGTGGGAACCTTGGTTTTGACTTCACTAAGTTCTGTGTATTAGCACAAAGTTAATTGTCCAACTTCAAAAGTGAAGGTTGGCAGGATCATGGATTATGCTGTTCATGTGGTTTGAAGCCCAGCTTTGAGTTTTTATATTAGGTTTGGTGTTTGCTTGTGTCCCAGGCTGTATGGTTAAATTGCCATTGACAAATCTTTGCACTGAAATTTGTGCACTGAATTTGGACATCTTATTTCTATATCATTGTTATTTTGAACAGTAAACTTAATGTAAGAAACATTTCAGATGTAACAATCACTTGATTGAAGTAACTCTCTCCCTGCAGTCCCTGGCAATCGTGGTGGATACAACAGGAGGGGAGGCAACATGCCTCAGCGAGGTGGTGGAGGTGGTGGTGGTGGCGGTGGCAGCAGTGGCGCAATTGGCTACCCATATCCTCGTGGCCCTGTCTTTCCAAGCAGAGGTGGCTACTCAAACAGAGGAAACTATAACAGAGGTGGAATGCCCAACAGGGGAAACTACAACCAGGTGATCCTTTTGGGGGATTTCTATGTGCCCAGAGCTTTGAATGTTGCGTAAGAAGTTCTGATGCTGAAATGGGGAGTTCCATGTTAAAACTGTACCTCTCTCTTAAAGGTTTTTAGGGCGTATGTGAAGGTTTGTGTTTGATTCTGTCCCCCACCCCCTCATAGTAGTAACTGTTGTTTGGTGTTAGGGTCAAGGTGTATCTTTATCAAGTATTTAGGGAACTTTCTGGAAATATCTCTGGAAAGTCTTTGTTTTCGGTGTCTAGTATCATACACAACCAGTAAAGACACACTAGCTGAGGTCTTAATTGATGGAATATCAATGGAATTGCTTGAAGACATAATTTGGATTGCTGCAGAGCCAGCAGATGGAGCCCAAGGTAGAAAACAGGGCTCAGGTTTGTCTAATTGTGACAAACGGGGAAAATGCAGTATTTTATCTGCTAGTATCAATGTCCCCTTCTTGTTCCATAACTTTCATTTGAAGTTTTGTGGGCTAACTTTTCTATTTTCAGTTGTATGACCCGTATCCTTTTGTCTGATCGGATAACACATCCTTGTAGCAACTACAGCCTTTCCTGACTAAAAATAGGCAAGCTCTTGTATTTTTAGTTGTCCTGGTGCAGTTTAGCAGCTGGAAATAGGGTGAGTCAGAACTGGATTAGCTATAGCTTTCCAGACCACTGGCAGTGAGTTTGAGCTGGTTTATTAATTCTGAGGTTCTTGCCCCACGTTTAGCAGCAGCTGCGTGGAGGGTGAGGGAGACTTCTGGTATTCTAGTGTTTTTCAAGGAGTTTTTAGTTTGCTTTATTTAAACCTAGGCCTGAGAGTTCATATTTGAAAGATTCTGTATGGTGCCTGATGTTCTGGTGGCATTAGAAAGACTAGTGTTCATGCATTTATGAATCTACCAGTGTAGATAAGGTAGTTAAAAACTGTTATTCTCTTACAGAACTTCAGAGGAAGGGGAAATAATCGTGGCTACAAAAACCAATCTCAGGGCTACAACCAGTGGCAGCAGGGTGTAAGTAGTTATAACTTTATCTTTCCACTGATTGTTAACTTAAATGTTTCAAAATGCTGTCTGAAATAATGAGATGTGTAATCAAAACTGGATAGCAAAATCTTCTAATGCTAGGTAATATTGCTATAAATAGTTTTCTGTGCAAAACTTAGTCTGGCTTGATGGTCTCGGTATATCAAGTATCAGCTATGGCTTATTGGTCTTAATGGTATGTAGTATTCGGCTTCACATTACTACAGTGAAGTGAACTCTTAACTGCCTTCAGTTATTCACGAACTTGCTGCTATGTGAGAGCACTTTAATCTGCTTGAGTTGCAGATGATGCTTGATTGCAGAGATATTTGTTAAACACCTCTTCTTTTTCTGTAAGAAATACAACTTTTATGTGATTCCAGGTTAAAATTAACTATTTATCCCTTTATTGCAGCAATTCTGGGGTCAGAAGCCATGGAGTCAGCATTATCACCAAGGATATTATTGAATACCCAAATAAATGAACTGATACATATTTCTCCAAAACCTTCACAAGAAGTCGACTGTTTTCTTTAGTAGGCTAACTTTTTAAACATTCCACAAGAGGAAGTGCCTGCGGGTTCCTTTTTTAGAAGCTTTGTGGGTTGATTTTTTTCTTTTCTTTTTTTGTACATTTTTAATTGCAGTTTTAAAGTGATTCGTAAGAGAACCTCAGCATTGTGCACGATAAGAGAATGTGTCAGTATTTCAGGGTTCTACATTTTATCTGTAAAATGTGACTTTTTTTTTACCACAACAAAAGTAAAACGTTGCTTTGTACCTGGTGTCTTTTTATTAAAGAATTTTCTCCTTTTTCCCCATCCCCCGATTTCTAAGAAACAGTCGTGAGTCATGTCACAATACGATAGAAATGTTAGCAACCAGATTGGCACGGGGGCTCCTCATTAGCCCTTCGCAACACCATGAGATTATGTAAAGCTCCGAATTACACTCCACCCTCTCTACAAAGCTGCTGGGTGGGGAGGGGAGGAGTGGGAGGTCAAAGTTTCTGGCAATAACTAGGACTTTTTTGTAACACTTGGAACTCTGAGATGTTGGGGGCAAAGAGGAAACCCAGGGCAAAGTAGTGAAGGTGGAGTGTATGTAGAAGCTCTTAAAGTTGTAAAACTTGGTTGCATTATTTGTGGAGGCTCAAACTTGTGAAGGTACAACACCATAATTTCTTTTCCATTTGTTCTGCATTTTGATTCTGAAAAGAAGCTGGCTTTGCCCATTTCTTATTAAACAAAACTTGTTGTAAATCCAGTTGTCTAATGGGATCTATATGAAGTTAGCTGTGTGTCTGTATAACTCTTTCCCCACAAAATACTGTATACCTAGTGTGCTTGTAGTAGTTACTCCACCATTTTGTAAGCTAATGAAACTGTGAGTCACCCATTTTCTATCTAATTTTTAATCATGTCAATTCTCAAATGGGTGTATCTCCTTAGCCTGCTGATTCTTTTTAAAGAAAGTGGGTGGAGAAATTTAACTCTAGACGTTTGTTTGCAATAAAATAAATTCATTTTACTCTTGTTTTGGGATTGTTGCCATCAAGGTCTAAAATCCCTTTAAGGCTATAAAGAGGAAGAGAATGTACGAAAGCAATGATGTTGGACAGTTTTGAACTCATTACTGTGTACATGCTGAAATACTTGTGTTTCTTTAAAAATCTAAATGGTGGTTGCTCTGTTAGAGATCTATCACATGTATAATCTCACAGTTTAACATGGTTATATGTACAGGGCAAAAGTCTTTGAGTTGCGCTTGCATCATGTAAATCCACTTAACCTATTTATTGTAAAATAGACCGTAGGGAAGGAGCGGGGGGAGAAACAGGATGGGGGGAGCAGGACAGGAAGGTTGTCCTGGGGAAGGGATTCCTGGAGTTGGAACAGAGAGCTTCTGTTTGGTTTAAGCGCTATTTTGTTGAGATTTCTGCTTTTGTAAATTTGCAGTGGCAATGCTGGCTGCAGCTTCCTTGCATTCTAATGCTGTAAAGTGGGGAGAGGCACAACCGTCCTGAGTCGGACTCTGGGTGTGTGTGTGAACACGTGTCGCTGCCAGCACCTGGGGTTTGCCTTGCAGAGGCTGAGCTGGCAGCAGCCTGGGCCCAGAGCCTGAGTAGCCTGCTTGAAACCTCTCTCAAATGTTAGTCCATTCCTAATAGTCTTCAGAAGTAAAGATGCACCTGTGTTGCTCTTCTAGCCTTTATAGCAGATGACACTGCATATTAACATTAAACAGCAACAGTACCACCTCCTTGTTAATACTGCTTTAAATCATCCCTTTGAGTGAGAACAATGTAAAGTGTCTTTAAAGAAACGCTATTTAATGACCTAGAAATGTTGGGAATTTAAACCCAAACCTGTTTTGCTGAAATGGAATTTTCTTTAGCCTTGCAAAAGAAGTTTAGTGTAATTAAAGTCCATCTCCCTTCTACCCTCACAAGAACTAACACTTTGTATGGAGTGCTGATCCTTTGCTTATTTTGGTACTCTATAAAATTATATAGTCTTAAACTGAAATATAAGAGCATACACTTGCTATGTGATTGTAAAGCTTGTACTTTAATTCAAAAAGTCTGGAATGTTTTGTTTTCGATTCTTTAATGTATGGTGTTGAAAAAAGCCCCACATGAGAGGAATCACTTAGACTTGGGAGAGGAGTATCTTGATTGTACTAAGATACTCCAGAGGCGGGTTTGATAAGCTCAGCACTCTGCTAACTGTATGAGTCTAAAAGCTTTCCCGCTTACGCGGTGGAGCAGAGACCAGCCCTTGCATGAAGCTGGATCTTTGCCTGGGAGGGAGCCCCCCTCAGTGTGTCCTCTGGTCATTCCTAGGGAAGGGATTTATTCTGACATGTGAAGATGAGTTGGACAGAAAAGCCATTACCTAGAAAAATCACTTCAATACATTTGCAGTTTGTGATTAAAAAGGTGATAGAAAACTTAGCTGATGGCTACAAGGTGAGGAAGTGCGCAGCTCTACATTACCAACAGGAGAGAGCTGAGCTGTGTGTCGAGTAACTTCCCACAGCTTGTAAGACTTGCCGACATGAGGGAAAATGCCCGTGTTGCTGGCAGTGGTGGGGTGGGCACTAGTGATGCACAACATGGGGTTTGGGTTCATGTTTGGTGGGGCTTAATCCTTTTTTTTGTGCAGTACAAACTGCATTTGTTTTCTTCTAATGGAGATGTAGAGTGAGTCTTCATTATTGTTAGAAAATTTTCTGATGGTGGAATATATAAAACTCCAGCCCCTGCTCTAGCAATGCCATATGCAGTCAGTGACAACTGCATAGAAATATTGCCTCATGGTGCAAGCCACTAGTTCGAGTTTTTTAATCTGTTACAATGCTCTTTGAGCAACGTTTTTATTAGAAATAGGTGACAAAATCATTTTATTCAGAGGTTTCCTTGTTTGTGACCTTTTGGAAAACTAGGCCAGTGCTTTCTACAAATCCAACTGCAAACTAAGCCACAAGAAATCCCAACTGCGTTACAGAGAGAGGGGAGGTACTTCAATGCTTCTGCAGATGTTTAACTGCCGGGGGTTGGACCCCCAAGCAAAGAAGTGTGCATATTCTGTAGTTATGAGCTAGTAAGGTGGGAGTAAGTACAGCTGGAGCTGTCCCAGCCAGAAGCGCTGTGGAGGATGGGGAGAGCGCCAGGATGTCAGAAAAGCTGCTGAGAGGGAAGTGGAAATTCAGAGCAGCGGCTTTGTAACTGGTGTTAACAAACGGGCCGTGGGGCAGGTAGAGCAGTGCCTCTGCCACACACAGTTCACCTCAGCCCCGACACAGCCACCCTGCGTGGGTTGGGGCGGGCAGGAGACCTCACCTTGGACTTAAAGCAGATTAGCCATCAGCGTGTGCAGCCTTTCCCCTTGCTTGGAGGCACAAACTGCCTTCTCCAGCGCAGCAGGGCTCTCCTAGGCTCACCGTTGCAGGGAAGGGGCTGAAATCAGGACTTGGCCAGCAACTAAACCGGATGTGGCTCTTGCCTCAGTCTGTCTCTGCCAGAGCACTGGGAGCGGCAGGAGGATTCAGCAGTGAGTCAGTTGCTGTGTAAACTTGGCTGTAACTTAAAAGGATGCTAAATGCTTTATGCATTGTCAACATCAAAAGAGAAAAAAGGAAAATGTAAAAAACCTAGTAAATACTTACACAGGTGACTTGAAGTGTTACTTCAGAGCAAACTTTTAGTTCTCTTTTCTGGTCACTGCAGAGAAATTTGGTCCTATAAGTTATCGATACCAAACCTGTGGGTAAGACAGCTCGGCCAGTTTTTCCTTCTAACCTTTTCATGCTCAAGAAGTGTTTATGACAGTGGTCGGGAGCAGATGCAGTTTACACTACTGATTCTGGGATCTGCTGCCTGGTTAGCATGCAAGAGCCGTAAGGGTACTCGTTTCTCTCAGCATTAATTCTCCCTTAGCTAGGATCAGATGGCTGCTTACTAGGACACCGCTCATCGCTTGTGTGGCATAAAAATGCAAGTGCGTGGTTTCTGGTCTGCGTGTGGCCTTCGTTCATCTCCCATTCACCTTTGTTAACTCTGCTGCCACTCTGCACTCTGGAGGTGCTCCCCCTGTTCTAACAGAAACTTGTTTGCCATAAAGGGGAGATGTGTGCTGGGGAGGAGCACAAGCTCTGGAACAGTGCTGATGCCTCCAGCAGTTGCAAAATAAAAAGGCCTAGAATAGTACTGAAGATCGCTCTGGACGTAAATGCATGCTTAAAATACCAGTGGTTGTTTACACAGCAAGAGACGCACGGAAGGCTGGATTCTCTTCTTTAGTCTCCATGTAACATACTCAGATGCAGGCTACAGCTGTGTTCAGGCACTGCTGAACTTTCAGCTTTGTGGAGCTGTTGAGCAAGTAGGAAAGACAAGCCCTTGTATTATGAAAGGACCTTTGTCTTTGTGCTAAGCAGGTAGCAAGAGTAAGGAAACAAGTAAGGGAGAGGAAACGAGTAAGCCTCAGTGGAGGGATTTACTGTAATATTTCTTTTTTCTGAAAGAAACAACACTGGAGTTTGCTCCCATGGTGCTGAGAAATAGGGTTTGGAAATAGCTGAGCTAGCTGAGGCGAGCTGCCATGCAGCATGGTGTGCAGGCAGCAGGGGTACGTACCCAGAGCCTCACACCTCTGCATTATGACACTTTGTCCCCTCTGCTTTGTGCTCCCCGCTGCTGTCAGAGCTCCTGCAGTGCTGTGGGGGCTCAGCCCAGCCTGGGAGTGCTGCACTGGGGGTATGAATTACTGACAGCAAAATGGGGTGTTCTGTGTGGGTGATCCCCTGCACCACACTGGGCTGCTCCTGCCTGGGGTTTTACAGATGTTCTCTGTCTCAGCAGGTCACAGAATCACAGCAATGGTGTTTGTGAGGCCCTTTGGAGATGCAGCCCACCCTCCCATTCACAGCAGGACTGGCTCTAGTACTCAGGGCATTTGTCTAGCTGAAGCTTGAAAACCTCAGGGGTGGAAACTACGTGACCTCTCTGGGTACCTATTCCAGCGCTGCACTGCCCTCTCAGTGACACAGTTTGTCCTGCTCAGGAGCCTTCCACTGGAGCCTCTATGGTTTTTCAACATCCCTGTTGACCGAGAGGCCCAAAGCAGGAGAGCAACATTGGACGCACTCCCTCAGCCGTGTCACGTACCGGGGAATAAGTGTATCCCTTGATTTGTTAGACGTGTACTTCCTGATGGAGCCCAGGC